GGTAATGAATGTACGCTTGCCATGAAATGAACACTCTGACATAATAGGTAATTCGAATAAAACGCGGCAACACACGTGCATTTACTGGTAAAACTTTTGGTGCAGTGGCACCCGAATATTCGTTGCATCCTAATTAACAAAACATCAAAAAATATACAAATATTGTATAGCCTAAAACTAAATATAAACAATCAATTTAAATTAATAACTAAACATGATGTATTTTGTTCGTGCGGATGTAAATGAACCCACACTCCGGAAATATCCATTAACAAGTAGGTAAAATTCCATCAGTCTTACAAATAAATCATAAAACTGCTGTTGACACACAACAAATATACTAAATATATTGGCTCCACTGAACAAAACCTATAATATAGTGTTGGAACAGTACAGGTAACTTCATTACCCTGGTAATTATTTGTATTGTCTGCATTAAAATGTGAAAGCAATATTAGACAATAAACATGATTAGTGTTCTGATTGACGTCACTTTTAAAGTTGAATTGGTTGACGCTCCGAAGAACCGGAGAAGCCTATTCGTATATTAAACTAAATTTATCAATGCCATAAATTACCTTATCGATCTGTCGAGAATACTTACATCTGGCAATAAACTGTAAAAGTCTTCATCAACTCGGATTTTAACAGTGGTGTCAAAATATATACCGACCTCCTCGCCTACTTTCATGTTCTGTTTTGTAATTATTATCGTCTTCGGATCAACATAATTGAAAAAGCTTTTTCTATAAAAAAAAAAAAAAAATTAAAAAAAACCTATTAAAAGAGGATTGGTTTCGTACATGAAGCCATGCAGTTTCTCTCTTTGTTTCTTATTACACATATTATATAAACATCTACCGGTACCATTTAACTCAATTTTCATTATTTCAAAGAACGAAACATTATATAAAGGATTATCATTAACATAACAGCAATATTATCATCATCATCATCATCGTCATATCATCATTATCATCATCATCATTCTCATTATCAAAATATTATCAATACCATCATTATCATCATTAATGAAAGGATTGATTTATATACGTTAACAATGATTTGAAGTACTTCTTTTTCACAACATTATTATGTATTCATTTTTATTATCTCATTCTCAATTGAAAATTTAGAACAAAACGTTTCCTTCGCCAATTACCAGACATATAAAATTTAAGATAGTATAATACATACTACAAGTATCGAAATGCATACATAATGATTAAAGCTACCTAAAAAAACAAAGAGAGCTCCTTTGAAACTTTAAGCTCATTGTTTTTGTAGGTAGCTTTGATCAGTATGGTAAGAATGCTTTGACCTTTAGTTTATTTATAGCTACAGATGTCACCTGCTAGAGGTAATGTTTTGATTGGCTAAACACTTTTGTACTAGTGTATATAAGCTTGCAAAATGGATAATTTTTCATTTATGATGATGACATAATAAATGTCGAAATATTAATCCCGACACGATTTCGATACATGGAGTATGTATTATACTATCTTATCTGAGATTAATTAGTGGACCTTTCGGTTTTTATAAAATATAAAGTTTCCTTATTCGTTGCATAGACACTTAAACCAACACTAGCTGGTAATCGATTTAAATACTTTTGTAGTAAAAAGTTTGAACCAGTATATCACAGGAAAACAGAATTCATTTGGCCTGCGCCTTATTTCCTTCTTACCGCACATGTGGTGGTTTAAGAGACGAACAATCCTTTTCCTTTTTCTCAGTAGTAAAGTAGATAGACAAACACTTAATGTAAATCTATAATTAAAGTTCAAGATTATAAACAAATAGCCTCTCAAGCTTACTTAAAATCTGCTAGATTAGTTGGATTTATTTGATTTGGAAGACGAAGTGTCCTCGCAATTTCTTGTAAGTTAAATTTATTTTCTTCTCTTCTGCTCATAAGGTAGCCTCGATGGTCGTAATATGTGCTCCTAGAATGAGAAAGGAAAAAAAAAGCCAAGACTGTATGTAATTCGCCTCGGCAGCAAACGACCAAAGTAATAAAACGTGAAAGTAAATAGACGTCAAGGGTAACGCCAGCGAAGGACCGCCCCCCCCCCCCGTCGGGGAGGACTGACCCCTACTCCTTCGGGGAGAAAAAGCACAATTCGTCGGGGAGAAAAAAAAATATGTATTTTCTACATATTAGTAGACTCTAAAATCGATTAAATAAGCC